GGTGATTCTGAATAATCTCTCAATTTATTGTTCTTTTATACATTCACTTTTAAATACATCGGGGTAAATATACATAAATTCCAGAACCATACAAATATTCTCACTATTGGGATTTCCTTGAGGTTGTAGCACTTTTAAAGCATTAATGATAACATCACCATCCATATTTTGTATTCCGGTTCTTATAATCTTGAAATAACTTGTAAACTGTTGGTTTTTTAACAAATCCATTCTATAATTAATAAGCGGTATAAAGCACCATAAGGTGCATATCGTATCATAGGATAGATACACTGATATATTATCTCTCCCAATCTTAACCACATTTGAATAGGGTAGCTGCTTAAACTCCAGAGAAAAAAATCCCCCATCTATCGGCTCCATATTTTCTCCGGTATATAAATAATTTGTTATTATTCCTTGGTAAGATAAAAACTCTTTCCATTCTTTTTCATTATAGATAACCCAATCATTTTTGTTACCAAATATTTTAATAATCGGAATAAATTCAATATCGTATAGGAAACCCACAGACACGAACTTGCACTTTGACTTATTCAAGCTATATTTTCTTTCACCTACAATAACACGTCCTGGTGTACATTTATCATTTTGTTCATTTTGGCTCTCAGAATACATTTTCAAAAGTGATTTTGTTAGCATTCATCACTGACTTTATTTGTTTTCCCCTACCACACATATCACGTGATTGTTTGTCTGACTTGTTTCGATAAGCTTGTAGACTATTTTTAGAAATGACGTAATGTTCTATTTTTAGAAATGATGTCATCGACATCTGGCAACTATATGTGGCTATTTTTAGGAAATGATGTAATGTTCTATTTTTAGAAATGATGTCATCGACATCTGGCAACTATATGTGGCTATTTTTAGAAGTGACGTAATGTTCTATTTTTAAGAATGATGTCATCGACATCTGGCATATTGAGGTCAAGGTCATGACCTTCACATTTCACATTTATTTGCGCTCTCATTATATCACTACTAAGGGTCACCCCTTTTATACAAAAAAACTACGCCACTGCATTTTTTACAAATCATTGTAACTAATTTATATTCTAATACACAAAATAGGTAAAAAAGATAAATTGAATTTTTTCCCTAAGATTCGCCGTTCTCAAGTTATTCATACCAATACAATCTCCTTGTGGCAGTCATTTCTAACCATAATATTACAAGATTATTTATGTTTATGCTTAAAAGTGAGTGCAATTTGTAAGCACACCAACAAAATTATTTATACTCTTTTCTACACCACCTGTGAGTGTATTAGTTTTCCCTAGAGGCCTAATACTCTTTACAAATAAGTACATTTTAAATCAAAATAATAATAAAATATATTTACCAAGCAACAGCAACTAAACAAGAACCAAATTAGCGGTACGTATTTACAACAATTGTTCAAAGTGCGAACCACCCACATCGATACATTTCTGTGACATCTTCTATTAATGGAATAAATTGAAGCTAATATCTTGTGGTGGTTTTCTTTTAATTCATTACACCCATCTTATATTCGTTGCAGTAGTTATGGTCTTGTATATATTTGTTGAAGTAGAATAAACTTTACATTTCAGATAACCCCAAACATAGAAGTCCAGGTGGTTTCGATATGGCAATCTGGCTGGACAAAACACTGGATCCTCTGCACCATTATGGCTGACATTGCCATTTCGTCTTCTACTTATCCGTCGCCCCACATAATTTTCATTAAGCCATTCTTATATTATTCTCCAAGAATGCGCAGAAGCACCATCCATTGTATCCAGCTATTTTGTCGTATATTTAATGGAACATCCTCTAATAATTCAAATAGATAGTTTTATAGAAAGTTTAGAAATTACTGGGAATTTAGACTTTATTGCAAATTATTCCGAGCCACATGTTCACAGAAAATTCGTGTTGAAAAGATCTTGTCCGAATTTCATGAGGATTTTCTTGTGACCAAATATGCAGATTGTGAAAATTCGCTACCCCTCGCATTTGGTAAATGTACATTTATTATTATTTTCATTTAAGTTGTTCTTATTTGTAAAGACAGTGGGTTAGGCTTCCAGGGGAAACTAAAACGCGTAAGGAACTCTACCTCACAGGCGGTGTGGAAACGAGTGTAAAGAATATTGTTGATGTGTTTACAAATTCCACTTACTTTTAAGCATAAACATAAATATACTAATTGTAATATTATGGTTAGAAATTTCTGCACAAGGGGATTGTATTGATATGAATAACCTGAAAATGTCGAATCTTAGGGAAAAAATTCAAGTTACATTTTTTACGTATTGAGTGCATTAGAATATAAATCCGTTACAAGAACGTGTAAAAAATGCAGTGGCGTAGGTTTTTTTATAAAAAAGGGGATGACCCCTGCCCAGATGTACACCACTGGTTGTACCTCTAGAGCTCATATTTTAGGGAATGCAAGGCCTACTGTCATAGATTATCAAATTTTATAAACAAAAAATCAATTTTTTTTAACAACTTCAACAACCTGTATCTCTAAAACGGGGCTGTTCCAGACCAATGTTTATAGATCAAACACATATTATTTTAAAGCCACCCTGTATATTATTCAGTTTAAATGACGTTAACAATTTTTTTCACTTTTACCACCAATATACTGGAAGAAGAAAGGTTTTTGAGAAATAATTTCCTTCTGATAATATACGAGTATAATTTACCTCAAATTATATTAGGTATCCCTTCCAGATTCCAGAAAATTACCACAAATTTTTTATTTAAACCTTATCCGTTTTACAACAAGTGACACAACACTTAATTTCAACAAAAAAGAAACAAATACTTTGCATTACCCTGTAGTAATTTATCCTTATTTCATCTTCTAAAGAAGAACCGTCTTCAGAAACACCATTTTCCATAATGAAAATCTCGGGGTCTTTATAATTTTCTTTCAGCCAAATTAGCAGCTTTTTGATTGCCCAGGGAGTTACCTGAAAAATGAAATAAGAAGATCAAATTCGATTTGGATATGATTCGAGTTTATATACGAACTAATAGAATACCTATTTTGTGTCTTACAATGTTTCATTATGAATGAAATTAATTCTATTTATTAGGCTTTTTGACAAAACATAGTAATGTTTTTGTTAATATTAAAGACAAATTACTTTTATCGACTTATTAATTACTGTCATACCTTCAACCAAGAAGAAGCAGAACTCGGCCAATCAGATGGTGTATACTCCTGAACTCCAATATCTAAGTAGTAGTTTGGAGTTCCGATTGTTGGTTCTGGAATTGCTCTTATGATGGAGGCGGAATACGTATTTAGGCCTAGGTAGTCATATGTACCGCGAATATAAGAGATCTCCTCGTCGGTGAACTCAGGAAGACGAGATTCATTTAAACCTTCAGCCGCACTTCTGTTTGCCACGCGAGTCTTCATAATTTCTGGATAGTCGCCATGAATTATTGGATTCACATACCAACCAAACTGAAATTAAAAATGATACTTATTAAGGTAACTGTCTATCCGATAGCGATCAATGCGAGGTTTCGAGAGCAGCTGTACAGCTGCAATAGACCGAAATTTAGTGGTAAAGATAGTAAACTTTTTATGTTTCATTTTATAAAAAATATTATTGTCGAAAAATAAATTGCAACTAAATCAATTTATGTAATGGAATTTTTAATACTCACAGTGAATTGACGTTTCGTTTCAGCGGCAGCTTCATTTTCAGCAGAATCATCTTCGGGTTCATGCCAATTAGTATTAAAAGCGGCTGAGACCTTTCCTATAATAAAAACACTTTACTTGACCGACTTCTAATTAAAGTACAACAGCGTTACCGTTCTGTTTGGATCTAAATTCATCGTCATAAATGTGATATGCTCTAGCGTGGGCTCGAATCACGTTGTGAGCGCATTTGTAGTCCAATACACCAGATTCCTTTATTACTGGTGCCATGTAACCATCTCCATAACCCAGAGAGCAGATCGATATAGGTTCGTTAAATGTTACCCAATATTTGACGTCATCTCCGAACAGTTCAAAACAGACCTTTGCGTAGTCGGCAAAAGCTTCTACAATGAAATCATCAGGCCATCCACCTTGTTCTTGGAAGACTTGAGGCAGATCCCAGTGAAATATTGACACCACAGGTTCTATATTATTACTCTTCAGTTCTTTAATGAGATTTTTGTAATAGTTCACTCCTGCTAGGTTCACCTTGTCAGAAGTACCTAAAACAATGGTGTTTTTTATTATAAAAATTACAGTCTGTTTAGACACCGTATTGGATGTGAAATAGTACAAAAATATATTCTTATTAAGTCCTACTAATTGATGTGATGATTTAAGTGTCAAACAAAATGGATTTGTATTACTATGTATGAAATAAGCTTTTATAAGGGAAAAAAATATAAGTAATATCTAATAATAGGATACAAATTGGATCGATTGAATTTACTTTGTTTTTACTTTTACTTTTGATCCTTTAGCAAGGAAACAAAAACATATGTTTTTGGTTAAATCACACCTACTCTCTTCATACACACAATTTCAAATGAAATAATTAGACGCTATGAAGCTCTAATAATTACTTTTTGGATTCCTTGAATAATTGTAATTATATTCCATAATGAATTCAGTATCATAATTACAAAGTTTGATTAAAGCTTAACCTTCACTAATATATTTTTATTTATTAAAAGGAAGTATTCACCATTAGGAAGAATTCTTGCCCAGGACAATGAGAATCGATAATGATTAACACCCAAATCCTTGAGTATCGCTACATCTTCCTTGTACTTGTGATAAGAATCGCATGCGATATCACCATTTGCCTTTCCTTCAATTAATTCAGGTTGAGTGTGTGTGAGATGATCCCAGATATTCTCCCCTTTGCCATCCTCATTCCATGCACCTACAAATAATATTTACAGTTTCTTTGTTACCCTCATTGTCTCTAACTTTTCATTTTCGGTATATTTTGTATTCAGAAGCGGTTTTATAATTCTTAAAATAAAATGAAATACCTTGTAAAAATTAAATTTGTAGAAATTTTAAATCCAAACTCGTCTCCATAAGCATTTTTTTATTAAAATTAATATTAAATACAAAAAATTAAAATAAATGTTACTAGCAGCCTTGATGTTAACAATTTGTAGTCAATAGTAGGGAATAAGTAATATCATAAAAAAATTAAATATAAAGTTTATTTAAAATATTTCTTTAATAACACCGGCCAACAAAAAAAAAAAGTTATGTGAACTTTACATGCAGTACATGATTTCCTGTGTATTTTTATCTCCTAAGCACGAATCCATAGTCTGTTTTGTTCCATCACCCTTCAGTTTTCCGTAAATCGCTGAATACCTTCAGAAAATCGCTAAAAATCTTCAGTAAAATCTTGACATACGACACATGTGTTTCGACGTAATTTTCCATCCTGAATCAGATTCCGATGTAAGAATAACTCTATAACCGACTAGTCTTCAAAAATCGCTGAAGATCTTCAGAAAAAAAGGCGAATTTTGAGAAGTGACGAGATCTTGACATGCGGCGTATGTTTTCGGACCTCCTTAATCCGAATCCAATGTCAAATTTGCTCCATCAGGAGGTAAAATTACGTCGAAAGACATGTGTCACATGTTAAGATCTCGTCACTCAGAAGACTTTTAGCAATTTTCTAAAGGTATTCAGCGATTTACGGAAAACTGAAGGGTGATGGAGCAAAGCAAACTATGGATTCGTGTTCAGAAGACAAAAATACACCGGAAACCATATGCCGAATATCAAGATCTTGTCACTTCTCAAAATTCACCTTTTTTCTGAAGATCTTCAGCGATTTTTGAAAACTAGTCGGTTATAGAGTTATTCTGACATCGGAATCGGATTCAGGATGGAAAATTACGTCGAAAACATATGTCGCATGTCAAGATCTCGTCACTTCCTAAATTTCTCCACTTTACTGACGATTTTTAGCGATTTTCTGATGGTATTCAGCGATTTATGGAAAACTGAAGGGTGATGGAGCAAAACAGACCATGGATTCGTATTCCGGAGACAAAAATACACGGGAAACCATATGCCGCATGTCAAGATCTCGTCACTTCTCAAAATTCGCCTTTTTTTTCTGAAGATCTTCAGTGATTTTTTAATACTAGTCGGTTATAGAGTTATTCTGACATCGGAATCGGATTCAGGATGGAAAATTGCGTCGAAAAACATGTGTCGCATGTCAAGATCTCGTCACTTCCTAAATTTCTCCATTTTACTGAAGATTTTTAGCGAGTTTCTGATGGTATTCAGCGATTTATGGAAAACTGAAGGGTGATGGAGCAAAACAGACTATGGATTCGTGTTCCGGAGACAAAAATACACGGGAAACCATATGCCGCATGTCAAGATCTCGTCACTTCTCAAAATTCGCCTTTTTTCTGAAGATCTTCAGTGATTTTTGAATACTAGTCGGTTATAGAGTTATTCTGACATCGGAATCGGATTCAGGATGGAAAATTACGTCGAAAAACATGTGTCGCATGTCAAGATCTCGTCACTTCCTAAATTTCTCCATTTTACTGAAGATTTTTAGCGATTTTCTGATGGTATTCAGCGATTTACGGAAAACTGAAGGGTGATGGAGCAAAACGGACTATGGATTCGTGCTCAGGAGACAAAAATACACAGGAAATCATATGCCGCATGCAAAGTTCACATAACTTTTTTTGTTATATATATATATGTCGGAGATGTCTTTCTCACGGTCCGAGTCCTTCAGACTTTGGAAATTACAGAATTCTTTACTCAGAGAATACCCTTTTATAAATTGTACTTAGACCATAAAACTTAGAAATAGTTATTTACGAATTAAGCCGGTTATGTTATTCTCGAGTTTTATGAGGGCAAGCTTGGGTTTGGAGGGACTTACGGGTCACTCAACGTAGCCGCGGTCAAAGGATAGATATCATTTACCTTATAATTACATTATAAGGGATATAACGAATTTGATTGGTTCCTTTAAGAATAATTTTAACCGGACGAGTGAAGAGTAGTACAGAGAGATGTACTGAAGGCAGTTCTACTTGAGCATTGAAGACGTGAGTACACTGCTATTCTGTTGACCGTGGATTCGTTATTGAGCCTCTGGTTGTTGTCATAAAACACCTCAAGTACTTTATTTGTAACGTTTTATTTTAAATCATTTTCATTTACGGTATTACTTATTATTTCGTGAAGAAACTTTTGTTTAATCTCTTGATCTTCTTTGTTTTATCGTATACAGTCGCAGCTAAAGGTCCAAAAGTTATGACATAGTTATATACTCGTCAACAGCGAATCGTTTATAAAAGTCAATTATTTTGCTCCAATTTCTCAAGAATTGAAGGTACAAAATAAATTTCATTCCAAATATGATTTTAAGCAAAATTTCAAATTATTGCACCTATACTTCGCTCCTTAATGCCTTAGAGCAAGCAATTTAAAAAGAACTACATTTTTGCTTATTTAGACGCCCCCTATTATCTAAACGAAGCTTGGTCAACGTAAGTTTAGGTAGATAATTTAATTTCATTATCCATTGAATATTGGGATACCCTTTATAAATAATATGAAATGTTTTTTCTTGTAACAATAATAATAAGTACAACTTTTATGCATGCGCGGCTTAAGATATCGCGTTTTATTAAGTTACCAGCCCCTTGACTAACTAATAATCTTAAACTCATGATGAAGCTACGAAATTAGGCTCTATTTAAATTTAAAAAACGCAGAACGTAGAATGCTTGGAAGGAATACAAAGAACTTCGGAATTTTGTCACAATGGCGGGGCGAAATGAAATCAAAGCTTTTCTTCGACATAAGTTTGCGGTTGATCCAAAGAGATTTTGGCGCACTTTGAGATATTTAAATATAAATTCCGTTCCTTATGTTTACCCAGGCAATATTAGTAGTCCATCATCTTTTAATAAGTATTTTGTTAATAGCGTACCTTCTCTAAGTTCAAATAACAATAATTTTATTACCGACACCTATTTTAATAAAAAAATTTCAAGTATTATCTATAAGTTTCAATTCACATTAGTGACTGAAGAATGTATCGAAAAGGTATTACCGCAAATTAAATCAAACTCTACTGGCACATATGGCGTAAATCTCAAGATGATCTTATTAGTTACACCTTTTCTTAATAGCTATATCACACATATTGTGAACAGCTGCCTTGTATGAGCTAAATTTCCATCTTTTGGAAAAATGCTAATATTATACCCATACCTAAAGTAAATAATCCCTCTCAAACAAATCAGTTTCGTGCAATTAGTATTTTGCCTACTATATCAAAGATACTGGAAAAGATTGTGTATGTACAATTGAGTGATTTTTTTCTTAGTAATAAAGTTATTCCTCCTACGCAATCGGTTTTCGTTCTTTGTACAGCACATCAGCAGTTACATGTTACGGATATATTTCGAACCTCAGACAATAAATTAAATACATGTTTGATACTGTTGGATTATAGCAAGGTTTTCGATACCTTAAATCATAGAATTCACTTAAAACTTAAATACTTCGGATTAAATGAGAACGCCTTAAAATTTACGTCCAGTTACCTAGATGGTCGCAAACATAGAGTCACTTTTGGTTATTCTTTTTCAGATTGAATAGAGATGTGCCGCAAGGAAGTATTTTTGGGCCTGTGCTTTTTGCTTTATATACTGCCGATTTTTCCAAGTTTTTTTCATTTTGTAATTCACATCGGTCTGAAGATGATACGCAAATTTATTATTCTTTTTCTTTAATGAAGATTTAAATAAAATTGCTGAAGTATCTGAATGTCATGGTTTAATCTTAAATGAAACAAAATCCCAGTTGATAATATTTGGCAGTCAGGAACTTCATAATAATAATAATAATAATAATAATAATAATAATATTTATATAACCACTTTCCTGCAAGTAAAAGCTTTATTAAAAGATGCTGAGAACAGTTATTCAGCATTAAATAAGTATTTATAAATCCAAAATAGGCGCAGCTTATAAAATCATATAATATTTATTCCACCTATTAGTGTTCTGTCGTTACATTCTTACAGCATTTATAAAATATACTATAAAACCTTTATACAGAAAACATAGGCTGCATAACCGATGTACACTATTGTCTTNATGATAATGATAATGATAATGATAATGATAATGATAATGATAATGATAATGATAATAATAATAATAATAATAATAATAATAATAATAATAATAATAATGCATTTATTGCCCAACAGAAAACATTCCATTTACAGGACAAAATAAGTAGATAATTATAATATAAGCATACTACTGTACAATAAATAAAGAAAATGTCTTGAATGAATGTCTTTTATTACAATTATTTAGCTCAACATGTACATGTAAGTAAATAGAAAATAATAAGCTTGTAAAGGGGCGAAGTGTCAGTTTAAAACTGCTTTTCAACTTAACCCCTAGAAACAGTATGAATAAACAGAAAAAAAATAAATGAAGAACACAAAATACCCTAAGTATAATAAAGTCTCTATACATAATCCCTACAGAATATGAACATAAATTGAAAAATATATAGGTACACATATATGTATATGAATCAAATGAAAAACTCGTAGTGACAAAGTGAAAAAAAAACAAACAGTTAACGACATCCAAAAAGACAGTTTAGTGACAGCAAATTTTTAACTAGTATTAAAATCATCCAAAAGAAATTGCTTTAACTTTTTTTTAAAGTTCAAAATAGTGTATGACTTAAAACAAACGGGCAAAGCATTATATTCTTTACAGGCGTGATAGATAAAACTTCTAGTATACAGGGCAGTGGCGTGGCGAGGAATCTCTAATAAACGCGAATAACGAGGATTAAACATCGAAGTGGCTTTATGAAGCCTCTTAAATTTT